TGCTTATTGAACTTGTCGTTCTCTCCTGTACAGGTATCATACCACAAACGCTACACAAAAGCCTGGGAACACATACATCATACTACAAAAGGTCTCTATATTGAATAAATGTCATATTGTTAGGAAATTCCTGAATACAGACACACAATGACACGCTTATTTAATTTTTGTCTTTTTTTTTTGAAGTTACTATGCCTTGACTCTGGTCTCGCATAGTACACAGCCATCGGTGTCCACCTAGTGTAACTCACAAAACTCAACATAATTGAGTTTTGTGGTTTATGGCATTACGAAATTCTATTAATAGTATCATATACGTTATTGAGGGGAATAACATTTTGGTGTGCCGTGTTGAGTCATGTCGAGTCATAGGTGTGCCGCGAATAGAAAAAGGTTGCGGAACACTGACTTATAGGATAGGATTAGATTTCAATTGATGAGATAAGACAACGAAATAACGAAGACGATCTCCCAAAAAGAGAAGCTTCCCGAGAGGACTTTCTACGGGAAACTAGCTTCTATTTAGGTATTACACACGTGAAGAAAAGCTGAAAAAAATCTATTACCACGAAAGCATTTACAAATTATCTTTGATGCTTAGAGTTGATTTTAATAAACAGCTTTGTAATTTATAAAAACAATTCGAAATATTATAATTTAAATAGCCCTATATACAATACTATTATATTCATTTAATTGTTGTATATCGAATTTTATATAACGGTATTAATCATTGTGTATTATATTAAAATTGTATATTGTGTATTGTAGATCTAACAATCTGAACGTTTGTCCCGTAATTTTGTTAATGTATTTCTATTTTGTTCCCCGTACAAAGGGTGGAAAACCTTGTACTAAATAAATAAAAATACTATCTTCAGGTGTAGTGAATATAGAAATTTCTATCATATCTTCTACTATGACACTTTCCTTCTGGCATTTATTGATTGTGTGACAAGTTTCATGGTATTTATGAAATGACAGCCAGATGGACGACGTCACTTTATCTCTCTGGAGGACTCAGAATCGAATCCGGGCGATCCATCCCAGAAATTTCTCACGGGCGGTCTGTCTAAGATATTTCGTGCCCATTCCTTGATACTCGGCCATCTCCATTGTGAAGTTAATCGAACTTACGATGGGTGTGGAAAAAAAACGTGCTCTTAGTACCCACCGGAAAAAAGACTGGAAAAAGTATTATGAAATAAAACCACAAAATGAAGTTAGGTTAAATGAAATAGCGTGTAAACTACATACATAACTCTTATAAGCTGTTTGTTATAAAACAAATTGGTTCTAGTTTCTAAATATTTACAAACTATACTTAAATTAACTTTTAATATGATACTTAATCTGATCTTTTTATACTCAAAAATTTTCTATTATATTACTTACAAATGTTACTTTTGCTCTTGTTGAAGAATCATAAGCACATTCCACAACCAAATGATCACTCTGTTATAAGAAAATATCGTCAATTACAAATACATTAGCATCCATTTTATATTTCATTGTCAATATAGAGCATAAAATAACTTGTGTTATGTCATACTGTATATTGGCAATGAAAACATAACTAAATAATTGAGATTTTATACTCACGGGCAGTACAGTGCGTTCTTCGGGCAAATATTTAAATTGCTATCAGAAATTCAAAAAGTTTAAAGCAAAACATTTCTCGTAAATTCAATTGAATGAGTAAATCACAGAATTACTCATTCAATAGAAATTACTTACCTGAAAATCAAAATCGTAATTTAAATCTCTAGCTAAAGGAAGTAATTCTTCTCCATTTCGAAAATGTCTGACCATTAATTTTTTACCTAAATTTTAAGATATTTTTAGAAAAATTTATTATTTTTAAATACATTTTTAATAATATTTCATACCTATAGTATGAGAATGAAGTAGAAAAGCGTACATTTTGATTCCTTCTGGAGGAAGTCTCTATTAAATAATAATAACAATTCTGTTGTTTTTTTTCTAAAAAAAAGAAAGCATGGTTTAAATTAATACCTGACGTAAACAAGATGGATGTGCGTGTCCTGCCACAATATATTCTTTCTGTTTCGGTGGGATAAACACGCAAGGATACCATAAATTTCCAAAACTTAATACTGCAGCATCGTGTTTACGGAGTTTTGGCGTATACGTAATTCTAAATCCAGAATTATCAACGATTCCTACGCGAAAAGCCTTTTATTATCATTGAAAACATTTAGCATTATATGAATATAAATTACCTCTTTTTAAACTGGGATTATCGTAATGAGTTTCTAATAAAAGCCATTTAACTTCTGGAATACCTAATGGAAGACCTGCTTGATCAGGAAAAATAAACGACTACAAAAGATTAAAAATAAATAAATATCTTATCATCCTTAAAATTTAAAAATATAAAATTTATTTACATCTCCTCCAATGGCCCATCCATAGGTAACAGTAAAACAAAATGGAAATTTCGGCAAGTTATCTTTAGTATAACATTCAGTGTATTCTTCATTTAAATAAGGCGCTATTTTTTCCGTCTCGACGTTTGTACACTCATATAATATCATATGATGTACAAGTTTTTCGTTTCCCGGTTCGATAACTGTATCCACCTAAATATATGTGTTAATGGTAAGTATTTATGTAAATTGGAACATCAAAAATATAAAAATATAAAGAATTTACTTTAACAATGTGATGTTTTCGACTTAATTCAGGTACTCTGAAAAATTTGCAGTAGTATTCAGTATCACTATTATCAGGAATTCGCACCTAAACGATGAAAAGTACAGAGTATTGTAGGAATAGCTACAGTTTAATAATATATTTTCAGTGTAAAAGCAATCAGTAAAACATCTTTTTTTAGATAAAATAATATAAAATATTTGAAAGATTATAAGTATATTTATACAACAAACATCCTTAATATCTTTAACATTTTTATTTTCATTTTGGCTCGATGGGCATGCCATAAGTATCAATATAGATCTATGAGATCTAGGGTAATCATCAAGGTCGGACAGTTTGGCTTTTAGTGTAAATGCTATGTTCTTCTTCCTCGTGATCTCGAATCGGACGTTAATTTTATGATTTATTTTAAAAATGAGCATTTATTTACGTTTTTTTGAATATCTCAATCTGTTGATGAGATGAAATTTGAAAAAATGTTAAAAAAAAACTGTATGAGCCCTATGTTTTATAATGCCTTTATTGGACATTATTCTTTCCATCTTCATGTAATATATCAAATACAAGTATATTGTATCATATTGGCATGTATGCGATTTCAAATTTCTAAAAAGGACTCTCTCTTTTTTAATATTGCATACATATCAATAGGATGCTTTATACCTTGTACTAATACAGGCTATTACTATTAATCACATATATTTATGTGTTAGATCATATATGACAGCAAAAAGAATGAAAACGCTTGCAATGCTTGTTTCGCCTCTATGTGACTACATTTTGCAAATTGACTCAACTTTCCAAAAAAAAATTCTTCAATGTGATAGGAAACGTTAATCATTAATAAGATTAAAATACAATTCGATAATTGCTAATACTCACGTTTGAATGTGTGACTTCCCAGTGATACAGATCGCTAGGATTTTCTAGCAATACACCCCTCTCATACTTCTTTAAAGTAACACTCTTGGTTCCTCTATTTTTTGGACCATGATATGAGATCTCACCCGTAGAACCAGGATTTTCGTCATTGTAGGCGAATATTAATCTCGTAGTTTCATCCTGTATATTATGTTTTCCTTTAGAAAACGTCACGAAATAGAATACCATTGATAAATCTTCTGTACTTACAGTTATGTGTAAATCTTGTGAATCGCAAGGAATGAGAAATCTTTTAAAACGAAACTTTGTATGCGTATCGGTCTTTTGATACCACAGAAGTTCCCAATCTTGATGGTCGTCAATTTCCGGAAGAAACTTTCCTTTGGCGTATCTGTCCTGTAATAACCAACGACAATCGGTGAATCAAAATAATATCATAGCTTTACTTGTTTTAGGCATTTTTTCCCCTTTTCTGGGCATTTAATCTAAGATAATTATTCTATTATCAACCAATTCATATAACACGTAATATTCTGTTATGTTAATTAATTATGATAATTGCCTTCTTATCTGTTGTTGACTTCATTTTGTTTTTGTATTTAATTTTTTAACTGTTATTTAATATTTATTCCATTTAAAAGTCTACAATTACTAGAAGTCAATGTTAACTACTGTTATCATTAGAGTAATTGTAATTTCAAAGTAAGATTTGGAAGTAGATTATGTTCCATCAAGAGGATTTGTGTTTATGTTATACTGGGGCTTGCATCTCAATATCCTTAATGTTATATGAAACAATATTACAATAATAGAAAAAAAGAATATAAACGCTTAAAATAACTTGTATTAGCAGTCATTATGATTCCTCGGGCATAATTTTTATATTTTTGTCATTTTCTAACTTGTGAAAGAAGATGGCGGAAGGCTAAGCTGCTAAGGTGGCAGCCTGCGGCTCTGGAGGATTCAGTATTGAATCTGAACGGGTCGGAAAAACCAGGAACTTTTTAGGGATGGTCCGTCCCTATACGAGGGGGACCCAAAAAAAACCGAACTGAGAGCGCTGCCATTCGTAGTAGTAGAGAGTTCTCCCGTTACATGGGGTTAGAGACCATCATGAAACAGTTGTCCAAACGGTGTCAGTTTGTAGGTTTATGTTTGAGCGTAGTGTTGTGTTTCTTTTACTGTTATTTTGTTCCACCTGCGAAGTTCTAAGAGACCTTCAACATCTCGAAACAATGAAAACGTTGAAAAAATCCGCCAAAAAAGTGTTAAGACGTCTGCGAGAGGATATGCGAAGGAAACGCCCGGAACTTTGGCGATCAGGTGACTGGTTCCTTCATCACGACAACGCCCCCGCACACACGGCCTTACGAGTGACTCACTATTTGGCCTCTTGGGATGGCCTGTCGTTCTCCCCCTCCATATTCACCAGACCTAGCCCCGTGCGACTTTTTTCTGTTTCCGAGAATGAAGAAAAATCTAAAAGGGAAGCGTTTTGATGATGTGGAGGCGGTAAAAACAACTTCGCTAAGGACACTGGACGATATCAAGGTTGAAAAGTTCTAGAGATGCTTCAAACAGTGGGGGAAAAGACTTGACAAGTGCATCGCATCTAATGGAGAGCACTTTGAAGGTGACTGAAAAAATTTTGTAAAAAAGTTAATAAATAAAGTTTTTATACAAAAAATCCGGTTATTTTTGGGTCTCCCCACCATTTGGACCTCGTTCTTCACACCCGATTGGCTTTTTGTGGAATTAACTATAATGGGTGATCCATAATCAGCTTGTAAAAAGACCTTCTTAATGCCTAAAGATGTTTAAAAAAAACTTGTAAAAGAATTAAATCTGTAAATTTATCATGAAGTTTTATCTGTATTTGATACTAATTATTATTATAAATGTAGAGCAAATTATTTACATGCAATTTGAAGAAATTGTAGACCTATAAATTAGTATAGTCCGTCTGTCCATCTGTCTGCCTTTTCTTAATATCGACAACACAGTTAGATACGTGAAAGACGAGACAGATTTGGAAACTTTAGAGACAGAAGACCCCGATTAACTATATCCAAACTTCCGGTCTAAAAGAGAATGAAAAGTCGAGTTATTTCAATTCAAAAATATTCTCCCGAAAGTTGTTAGATAGATGACCGGCAGGACTTTATTGTTAACGGAAAAGTATGATGTACAGTACAAGAGCAAGACACTACAGTACTGTACTAATTTCAGATGGACAGCATAAATTTTAAGTTAAATAAATTAAAAATATGATTAAATATTTCAGCTAGACATTGTGACTTGGTCACAATGAATACTCGTTTTCAAGTAAAAAAAAATATTTTTTATTTAATCAATGAATGCATTAAATTAAACAAGATTACAAATACTAAAAGTAGAATGAAGAAGAGGAGAAGAAAATGGGAAGAATATAGCGAGATGATCTAGAAACAAAACGGGAGAGAGTTAATGAGATTAACAAAGAAAAGAAAACTGTGAAGACACTTATATTCTGTAGTGAATAATTACTGTTAATGATATCGCGTATACTATAACATATCATTCACGTGAAAAAAGAAAAACATTTTTCATTCTTCTTCGTTCTTGTAATATGAGCCCTAATAGTATCTTTTCCGTAAAAATCGTGGGTTTCACCAAGATCAAATGGTAAATGTCGAGATCCACATATCGGGGGAGACAGTCCATAAAAAATTCTTGAGAAGTTGCTGGCCAGAATTCACAGCTGCAGGTTGCAAGCTGATGCCTCAATTGCTTCGATCTTCCGGCCGACTTGGAAATACTTACAGATATTGATTCTTGTAAATATAAAATACATGATAAATGTGTAAGGCTCTGGACAGGTCCGAACCCTCACTGAAATTCTCGTTAAAATATTTTTCTGAAACAAAAAAGAAAGCTAGAAATATTGTTTTATATAAAAATGCGACGCGAACATTTAAACAATAGAAGAATGTAAGTCCTAAGATCGATCATCTCCGGTTGGGATCGAATTAAACGTCGATTTTGATCTCTCTCGCTATCTAAGTTGAGATCTCGTTACACACCGTAACAAGTGATCAGTCACTTGGGAACGAGAACGAGGAAATGGACGATTGAAGACAGAAATTAATAAAATCCCAGAATTTCAAGAGCGAAAGTTCCAACTGTCGGACCAATTGTTGTGTATGTGCTTATCTTTGTCTACGTCTCCTTTCCTCGAATCATCCCGGATCCGTCGACATGTCGAAGAAATTCTCAAGGCAGAGACACTCTTTCATTTCGGTCTATCTTGGAAAGAGAGGAAGTCCCAGAGACCGCCGCCGACTTAAAACTTCCAAGATGGTGAAAATCTTGTAAGATTCTTTCGTGTCAAATAAACATTTAGCTGTAACCGTAGGGTCTATCTCGGTGCCAATCACCCGCATACCTTCTTGATCTCTCATCTGTCCCGATCATCGCATTCTTATAAATATAAACTATAAAAGAAATAACCTTATAGCATGTAGAAAGGAGAGTTACATCTCCTCTTTACTCCGACAACTGCCAAATTTTACTTCACAAGTCTGATTACATTAGATTGGACTGATGGAATAAAGCAACACAACATGGGCGATCTGCCAAGATGGTGCTTCCCAGGTGGACTTTTCATGAAAAATTGATCCTATTTAGGTGTTAAACGCGTGGAGTTTTGGATAATTTAATTACATAATATAAAAATTGAAAATTAATTATAATGTTAATAATTGAGTTAAATGTAATAAGGTTTAAATAATTTACATTGTTTAATCTGATTTTAATCATCTTAATTTTTACGATTCAATTAACAATTTTTAGGTAGTAAAATAGAATTAATAAACTTTTCATTACTTCTAACTTATAATTAAATGATAATATCATTAATTAAAAATGATTTAATATTATGAATATGGAATTATTTTTGAATATAAAAAATATTTCAATTGAATTAAAGTATTCTTACTAATTTAATTATTCAAATGATATAAATCTCTAAATATATGATTGATATAAATTTTAATCATTATAATATATGTTTTAAAGATTTAAATTGATCTTTCGATAGAAAAAATGGTTAATTTCTTCCAAAATCTTACGTGAAATGTGGCTTTTCCGTTGTTAATCCATCCGATGACCACGTCGCTACCTTCCATTCCACCATTTGGAGAAATTCCCAATCCAACCCATCCTCTAGTTGCAACTTCTACTTGAAAGGTAATAGATTCTTCGTCCGTCGACCACCAAATTTCGTAATTGTCGTCTAATTTTGAATGCCGATCGAAATTTTGTGCAAAAACCGAGAAAATACACAACACTAAAAAAGTGAAAATGGACATTTTAAAGGTAAGAAACGCTAGACAAAGAACCAGTTTGAATCTCTAATCGCATCCCTTTTAATGAGCTGTTTTTTATATTTAAAAAAAAAAAACACTATATCTAATCAAGAAGTAGACCATTTTACCGGTAAACAAATAAAACTGGATAAAATTCATGTATTTTTTTTCAAAAAATTTTTCTATTAAAACAAACTAAATGTTGTAAAATTAAAAGGTATAGTTTAAATGATTGATAAATTTTTTAAAAACCGGTTTATCTTACACTGTGAATTTAGATGGATCTTTTTTGACACGATTAAAGTCGTTGTCCTTGTCAGTGAACGAATTAATGTACAGTACAGCAGTTTTAATAATAATCGAAATAGTATCTCCTTAAATTATATTTTAAAATTCTGTTTACTTTCAAGTTTACTAAATAGATTTTTATTACATTTACGGACACATTCATTTATGCTTTAGTGTTGATGACATTGACCTTACTTTCGCCATCAAGTGTTTCATTATGGCAAGTTTTTATTTGCTCTTGAACCTCTGTGGAGTCATTTATTCGCTCTTTCACGCTCGTATGAACTGCTATAAATCTGTTTCAAACAAATAATTGTCGCAAATGTCACGATATATTTTTGACCTTATCGAATAATACTATCTCTATTTCAATATATAATATATTATTTCCTGTTTGGGATGCTCAAAATCTATGTCATTGTAATTACACCTATTCAAGGGTTCGAATGTTTCAGATAGATTTGAACCGTTCTTCTTGACAGAAACGAATTATAATAAATTGAAAATTCGGTAAATTCAGAATTTAAAAGTATAAATGTATAATAATGTTTAGACCTTACATATTTGAATGAGTGCTAGCATAATTAATGCAATATTACGGGCTGAAAAGAGTTGACGAGTGTTGCAAAAATTGTTTTACATGAAGTGAAAAATAAATACAAAGAAGCTTATAATGAGGAAATATTAAATTAAGACTGTAAAAGTTAGTGTGTATAAATGAAATATTCTATTTGGAAGAAAATAAGTATTATAAACTTTATTAAACAATCAACATCCCCAAAACGGTCGCTAAAAAGTATAAACTGTTGTGAAGGATTTCACAAAGTTCATAATTTCTTATTCTACTGCAGTCATCCCAGCGTGTGGTTTCTATATGCTTGTAGAAGGACTTGACTTTCCTATAATACTGACTAGTGCATAGGCAGGTTTACAAAAAGTAAAAAATAAGATATTATGAGGTACTACATGACAGTTGCCATTTCTGTCCGGCAATGTGGAACATAAATATAATTTCTTAATGACATTGGCTAATTTGCAATAACGAATTTTATCTGAATATTTATTTATTGTTTAATATCGGTCTCCAAATTAATCCTGTCTTCTCCATTTACTTCGAGTTCTTTTTTAACAGTTGGAAGATTTTTCAGATACAGAATTAGCGAAATTCTTTTCATTTTAAATAATCACTGTGAAAAAATAAATTATATAGTTAATTAACTGATACCAGTAATAAAATACCTTTAAATAGGTATAAATAAAATGAAGATGAAATGTAAGAAATAAAAGTGAAGGAGCAATTATTGTGACATGATCACAATGCCAGGCTGCAATTTTTAATCATATTTTTAATTTATTTAATTTAAAATATATGCTTTCAATCTCAAATTAGTTGTGGCTTGCCCCTATACATTATATTTTTCCTTTAACAATGGAGTCGTGCCGGTCATCTAACACTTTTAAAGGAAAATTTTTTGAATTGAAATGACATGACTTACGATTTGTATCGGAAGTTCGTATAGGAAGTTCTAATTTTCGGTCTACAGTTTTTTTTTCAAATTGAAGCCCAATAATCACCAGATATTATCATATCGCTTTGTCATGATTTAGAAATAAAAAATATATTTTTCCTGCCATAGTTATGTTATGTAATATTTACATCTTTTTAAAAATTATATTTATTACAAGAAACTATATATTTCGGATGTTCCAAAGAGATTACTAAGAAGAGAAACCACTGAACATTAGTAGTTAGTCGTGGATTTGCGACTTGCTAATGGTCTGACCACATTTGTAACACATAAATAGGAACCAGTTTCCCTTAGAAATTCCCTCTCTGAGATTCGGAGGCATTCCGGAGGCAAATCGCCAACCCGTTACGTTGTCGTGTACAAAGAAACAAACTACATAAGAATGTGTTAAAGATACTTTTATTCTGCCAATTCGATTTCATGCGTGTATCGTTCCTCCTCTGACTATGACTCTGCATTCAGAATCTAATTCCTAAATAGGAGCAGTACTCCCGATCCTAGAGCATCAGATTTCGAGGGACATGGTAATATCTCGTCCTGTCTGCATTCTTACTTGACTTACATGGTGCATGCATATGCATCTCTTTCCATATGTGAGATGGCAATTGTGGTTTTTCGTTTCCAGTTTGGTGTAGTTAATTTGTTTCTACTCTCTACCGCACTCTTCTCTGATTATGTCCAAATTTGTTTATTATTATTAAATAATTGATGTTTTTATTATTGGGTTAGGTAGTTTGTCGTGGACACTGGATGTACAGTACCATAACATATTTGTTAAAATACAAGTAAAGAGAAATCTACTTTGATGGTTTTAAATGTTATGTTATTGATTTAATTTTTTTAAGTAACGTAATAAATAATATTAAGTATTTGAAGTGGAAAAACAAATAAAAATATATTTAAATATTTATAGTTAAGATGTAAAAGGCCTAGTTAAAACTCCTGCTATCATGATTCCATACAATCATAGGAATGGAGCCTCGACATTTATCATATTTATTTATTTATTTTATTATTATTATTAATTATTATTACAATTAAATGTGTTTATATTATTATTTTTCATTTCTATTATTAATTAATGTTTTTCCTTTTGAATAAAGTTAATCGACAAACACTGTTTACTTTTATTCCCCTATAATTTCTGTTACAAATATTTACGCTGAAGAACATTAAAGTCTTCTTCATACACAGACTACAATTGTATAACAATAAATTAATATACTCACAACATAGCAAAGTTATTAATTATACGCTATAAAATCACAACGAAAACTATTACATATTAATACAAAATATTTTAATCGTAAGACTTCGATAAGAATTTGAAATTGTTTCATTTAAAGAAGTTTTAACAATAAATCGGACACTGTGTATATGAAATATTCGAAATATTCATACCTGTTAACGGCATTGTCTGTTTCTGTGAAATCTAATCTAATAAAGAATCTGATACCGTTTACAGAAAGCAGAAAGCATATTGTTACGTAGAACTAGTTCATGCAATTTGATGTTCAGTGGTTCTGGACTGTACGTTAATCAAAAAAGACTCTGACAATTTAAAACCCTTACGATGCCCTTTTAAAAATACGAGGATTTCAAATAGTAAGAGATTGACTCGACTCGTAATTTACATGAATTTCGCAAATTCTAATGTACTTAATTAATTCGTGTTTTATTATTTTTTCACTTCGAATGGCCGAGCGGTTAAGGTGGTAGCTTACGGCTCTGGGAGACCAGGAATCGATCCGAACACATAGAAAACCATCAGGAACCCTGATATGGTCCATCGGGCTCCGTCTCAGGCCACCAAGCCGCCATTGGGGGCCTAGCCGAACCTATAATGGGCTTGCTAAAAAGACCCTCTTTGTTCCTTTAGGGAGAAACTGTTAAAAAAAAACCTTAGTATAAATGTATATTCGGCTTATATAAAATGAGATTAAAGGCTGATGTCAAAAATTATAAATGTGAGTACAAGTTATATTGTTATAAAGCATATGTAATCTTGAGATTTTTACTCACTGAATAGTTTATAAAAGTAGAGTCGTTCTCGAAGCTCGAGGCGACAGGGTCTTCAGGGACTCCATAAAGATAGACCACCAGACCCCAAAAATATAAGTATTTTTTATATTGTTGCAACATAGAATTCATTTCAGTACCAGAATCCTAAATTGAACTGTATGTCGCAACAGCCAGTGAGACTGATGATCAGCCATACGGCTTTGGCCTGAATTAAGATCTAAGAAACACGATGGAATAATTATCTTGTTTACTATTAAATCCGTACAGATACACTTATTTTTCTATACAACTCATAAATTATGATAATAATCATAACTCGAGTTATTACGTAAATTCTAAGTTATGAGTGTCTAAGAATAGCCGAATGTGATATAGCCTGAGATGAAAATATTATTTAGTTATTGCTTCTACATTTATAACTTTCTTTGTGAATCTTCTTCACCTTAGGATATCTGGATAGAACAAAAGACTGAAAATAATAATAACTACGAATTAGTTTTTTTTATTTCACAAATTTAAATATATTTTATATGTATTAAATATGATGAGAAATAGATAAATGGATTAGTCATATATAAAGACCGATTGTAACCTCTTTGTTAATACACGTAATTTCCAGCGATGGAGTTAAAAATATATTGCTTTTTCCAAAAAAAAATTCTCCAAAACGGAAGCGGATAGAACCAAACAGTTTTTTGCGTTATAATCCTGTTTAATTCTTCTATTAACGTACGATTCAGAATTTTAAAAATCGAGTTCGTTAATTTTCTATGAATTTTTTTAAATCGTAGAAGATTCGTAGAAAATTAATTAATTTCATTTTTGAAATTATATAGGATAACTAGAAGAATTAAATAGGTTTTTAACGAATAAAACTGTTTGGTTCTATCTGCTTCTGTTTTCGAGAATTTTTGGAAAGGATTTTCTCATAGAAAAAACATTACATTTTTAACGTAATCTTCTGGAGATCGCACGCATAACCAAAGAGTTTACAATTATCCTTAAGGCATAACGACCTATCATAGTGAATCGAAGAGTTGAAGGCTCAAAACGGTACAGTCCAAGAAAGACAAATGTTCAAAACGGTACATTGAATAGACAAAACAATACTGTATTAAAATCATAGGAAAAAACTAAAAACGAAAGCAAAATAATAGAACTTTT